TGGCAGGAATTCCACTGTTGCAGGCACAGAGCTCCATTGTTCCAGGCACCGAGCACCAAAGACACTTCGGGCTGGGATCTCGGCAGGCAATTCCACTGTTGCAGGCACAGAGCTCCACTGTTCCAGGCACAGAAACCTGCGCACCGAGCACCAAAAACACTTCGGGGTGGGATCTCTAGATGAAGAAGCAGTAGCCCACCTTATGGCCACAATTACAACAGAACATACCATTTCGGTGCGCGCTCCCCCTTGCTGCACCACGGGGTCGGCGGATATAGATTTGATCGCGCACAGTGCGAAGAAACATATTGCGCTGGTTGGGTGGAGGCTCGGCATGTTTGGTTTGGGCCACAGACGAGTTCTTGCGTCAAGGCGCGCGACCAAATGTCGGGAGGATGTTTCGGAAACTGAATCTGGTAACATCGAGCAACCCCTGCATGGAAATGTTGTGAACACCCAGCTGTAGAAGGCTTGAACATTGATTGCCTTGTTGGGGGTGGCAATTCTGGTGCCACTCAGTGCCCCCAAGTGCTTAACAATGTATGGGAAGGCTCGCAAGCAAGTGGACCGACCGCATACCGGACAAATTGTATGGCCGGGTCATTATAAACATCATACGATATACTAGTTGTAAGGCGAATCAGGAGGGCCTGGGGTACTGTAACGAGCGTAAAGGAGATTGCTAACTCGACCCACTCTCTCCAGGTTGCTGCCGGGAATCCGGGTGCGACCACACCAGTTGGTCATAAAGACCCTTGCAAAAGCAGTTCATTGCTGAAGCACTAGCCTAAGCGTAAGGCGTCAGCATTCTATTTCCCCTGCATTGCTCGTAAGCTGAAATGTGAGTGCACGTGAGCAGCTCCTTACAACTGTTTGCTCCAAAGAAGGGTCTTGAACAACGGACGCACAAGGTCCAAAACATGTGTGCCATTGTGCCCTTGGGCTAAGAATTTGGTGCTCCATGTTCTTCCAGTGCCTTTGTTGTCCCCGCAACGGATTTGGCAACATACTCTCCACAGCGCGATTGTGTTTGTCATGCTTCAGGCGAGAGGAAAGACAAGTTAGGGGTGTTCGCCATCAATGTATGTCATGGTGATGTTCGAACTAAGTACGGTAGTCTTGACCCCATGATGCACAAAGGAACTTCAGCATGAAAGGAGAGCAAGCATTTGGCGGCCAGAAGGTGCAAGTGCCGCAAGATACTGCAGATACACAGTGCATAATATGTGTCATTGTGTTTCATGTTGTTTGCGCCCAGCATGCGATGATGTGTATATATATATGTGTGTATATATATATATATATAATACGCAAATTGACTTGATTGCATCAATTGTCGGCTTACCCATGAGTTTCACTTAGCCCTCTTGCTTTTTACTTTCCACCCAACTCAACATTAGTTGCTGCTTTCCGACATGTTGCAGCTCTTTTTGTGTAGACCTGGAGAGCCCTAAGGATTTCAAGGCACTGAGTTTGCAATCATCTTTTCTGCATTGGCAGAGGGCCCGCAGCACATCAGACCGCAACGAATTGAACAAGATGAAAGCCAGAGCTGCAAAATCCCAAAGCTCAGTGGAGCTTTGCAAGGTCAGAGTATTTCTGGACATGGCCATTTTGACGCAAACAGAGGATTGTCAATTGTGGTGAACCAAGCACAAGGTACCAATTTCAACCAGAAAGACAATCAAGCAAGTAACAGCGACAAGGCGTTCAAGGCGTTCAAAAAACAATAAAATTCACCACCTTTCTGTCAAATTGTCGTGCGAACGTTGGAATTGCACGTGGATGAGGGCTCTAAAAAGATCTAAAAAGTATTGATTTGAGGTGCTGAGAAGATCGACAGCTACAGAGCGGTCCTACAATTCTGTAAAGTGCTTGATGGTGTGGCAGCTTTTTGCTGCACAGTCCAGTTCTCAGTTCTTGCAGCACAGCGGGTTCCGCTTTTCTCGGCTTCCTATACCTACGCCAAAAGTTTGCATTGTTCTCGTCCTAATGACTCAAGGGCTTTGCCATTGAATGAGCAGGCCATTGAGTGCCTTCGATGCGACTTCAGGTCAAGATTGCGTCGCTTGCAAGAGGGGGCCCAAGCTAAAGCCTCAGTTTGTAAGAAATATGAATGACTGGAGGCTTATTCAGGCAATTGCTACTTTTGGTTCGCTCATCAGCTCTCGGCATGTTGGAAGTCCTGAGAGAAACATGTTCCCATCCGTGGTGTAGATATACATAATTATACATATAATATATATATATATACAGTACATATATATAATATTCTGTTCACCGACTTTGGTGTGGAGCGCCGTGAAGGAGCTATCAGAAAGCCTTCGCAAGCATTTTCGCCAGAATGTTTTCAAGCTTTGGAATCGCTTCTTGTCTCAAATGGGTGAACAGTACATAATGCCTCATAATGACATGCTATGACATGTATTGCAAACAGAGAAGTGGTGCAATAATTGTCGCTGGGTGCCTTGAGGTCGTGCCCAGAAAGCTGTCGCCAAGGCAGGGCTTATTCAACATTGACCAAGCCGAGCACGGGAAGTTGGGGTCAGCGTTCATCATGTCAAATGATTAACTTGTCTTCCCGGCCCCTTGCAGCAAAGTGCGAATGCGATGACAACTTGGCCATGTGGCCATCCAAAGTGTCCACTAAAAGAAGCTGTCCAAAGTTCAGTGTGAGCAGCCCTTTGGTGTCTTTGGTGCTCTTAACCTTTGGAAAAGTGTGACTTCGGGGTGTCCTCCGGCACAATGCTTCCAAATCCATGGAGGTGTGGAGGGCCCCTAGCTCGTTTTACACGGCAGGTGCAGGATATCAGGCACGTTTTGTGGCAAGCGCAATGCTTTTGAGTTTTGGGAGGCTTGGTTTGGCCGCAAACAATTGTTCAAAGCAATTACTGGTTCGTCGTCACTTTTTGCCTTACACCTCAGCGTCGTTTTGAGGGTTTGCCGCGTTGCCATCTTACTTGTGCAGTCTGACAGAAGAGTGTTGCTCTTGCTCTTTCTTCCTGCTTGCGGCTCCTGCTTATGCTCTTGCTACGATGTTGCCTGCAGCTCCTCCTCACTCTGATCTTTTTTTCTGGTGCTGCTCTTCCTTCTCCATACCGCACGCTTGCATGCTGCAAGCCCTGATGAATCGACCCAAAGATTTCCTCCAGGTGCTCTGCAGGTTCCAAAACAAACATAGTAGTGCCTGGGCCTGCGAAAATTGCAATTCAATTTGAAATTGCACTTCAAGCACCAGCTCTGTCTTCGAAGGTTGCGTTTGCCCATTGGCTCACAGAGACAGCTTGTTCCGCAGTAAGAACCTGCAGCAGCGCCGCAGCCTGGCGCCCTGGCTGCAACCAGCGAGAGACGAAAGAGAGAGAGAGGGAGAGAATATAGGAGTATATATATGTATTTCAAGGCATCAAGGCATAGGTTCCTTCGCGTCCCTGTTTGTCCTAAGCACGGTTGATTTGGGGCGGCCAGATTGTTAGCGGTGTCCCCTGCAGCGTCCCAGCAATCGGCAGTCTACAGCCACTGACAAATTCCAATTACCCATCAATGCGGGCACAGTGATGGTTTGTGACGGGTCTAGCTGACATGGTGGGATTGCCACGGTTAATTTGTTCATGTCATGCCTCGCTTGAAGAGCCTACATGATCTTCGCCCCGAATTTAAAGACGAATAACCCGTTTGAATTGAATCCCGCAGCCACTCGGCTCAGCGGATGGCACACGAATTTGAATCGTGTAGCTGTATCCTGTGCCTTTCGGTTCGCCGGGTGGTTCACCTTTTGTACGACCCCGACTGCAGCGGCGCAGTCCAGCGGAAGGGGGTCGTGCTGCTGAGGGAGGTGCACAGCCAGTTGCTTGACGTGGCTGAGACCGGAGCTGCCACTCCGGTCCCTCCCGTTGGTGTTGGTGACAATCTCCCGGGAGTGGGAGATAGCAGGACAGAGAAGAACGTCAAGCTCGAGCCCAACAGCGAGGACAAAAAGCTCAGAAAAGAAAAAGGCATTGCTCCAGTGGTCGACGCCTCCGAGGAGAAGGAATCAAGCCCTAGCCCTGAGAAGAAAGAAGAGGAGCCGTCAGGTAGTGCAAACAAGGAGGCTGACCTGAAAGACACCGAGATCGTGCACAAGGAGACAGACACCAAAGAACGTTCTCCTGGTAAGGTTGAGAAGGAGAAAAAGTCGAGTCGCAAGGATTCAGAGGGTCGAGAACGCCGTCGTCGAAGCCGAAGAGAGACAGAGGGGGGAGCAGACACGCGCTCCCGGAGTCGTCATCGCCGTCGCAGGAGAAGGTCTAGCAGGCCTGACAGTCCCAAAGAGGGAGCAGGTGGGAGCCATTCCCCTCCCGGTGCCACAAGGAAGGAGGGAGAGGAGGTGCGGGTCGAACCCAGAGCAGACAGCCGGAGTCCAGTACCCCGTGCACCCAGGGCTCCACTGCCATCCAGGCCGTCAGGGCTCACCAACGCTCAGAAGCGGGCCATCCCACCTCCTCCCAAGCCACCGCCTGTCAAGCCAACCCCCAGGGAGCCAGACCATCCACCCCCGGGGTATTCCAGCTGGGCCGAAACTGACGTTCGGGCCAAATCTCAAGGATACAGAGACTATCCACCGAACAAGGGCAAGAAGAAGGACGAACGAAACACCAACTTCAGGCTGTCGCGTGAGTACGAGCGGGGCTACTGGTAGGTGTCATGCCGCCGCGCCGGAGGCCTGCAGCAGTGCCGTTGAGAGCTCGAGGAGGTGTCCTTCGCCGTCCAGCCAGGGGGGAGGCGCCCGCGTCTCCCGTTCGAGAGGAGTCCTCCTGGGAACAGTTGAGCAAGATCTCCATAGCAACCCTACACAAGCGGCAGAGAGTTGTGGTAGAGGGACTGTTCTGGGAAGCGTCGGTCGTGATTGCCGGAGAAGGCCGAGGAGTCGTGGTGAGCGAAGGAGATGCAACCTGGCGTATCTGGGTGACCGGAACCCAGCAAGAGTCGCTGTTGAAGGAGCTTGGAGGGAAGTGTCAAGAGATGAGAGTGCACATCTGCCCCGAGCCCTGCGATCGCCTGGTTTGGTCAAAGGACCTGATTCACGGCCTCCGCTACCACGTCGTCGAAGAGAAGACAGAAGGCTGGCATACCAACTTAGCAGAAGTCCCTCGAGAACGAGTCGGAGGAGCAGGAGAAGATCCGTTACACCGTCTTCGACAAGAGATGGGAGAGCGTGCAAAAGAGGGAGATTTGCAGTACTCTCCCGAGAACCTGGGACCTCCCGATGGAAAAGGGGAGGAGTTGGAGGAGAAGCCAGTGAAGAAAGGGAAGAAGAGGAAGGCCAAGATCAAGGTGCAGTTGGAGGCCGGCATCAAGGACGTCTTCAAGAACACCGCCCTCGACCCGGATATAGGAGTCAGACGGGAGCTCATGAAGAAGGCGCGAAAGATCAGGCGAGGGAGGAAGAAGAAGAAGAAGTCCTCCCGTTCAAGGAGCAAGGCTACATCCGGGGAGGACTCCGGGAATTCGAGCGACACGTCCAGTTTGGCCGAGAGGAACATTGCAGGCTCGGAACTCTTCGAGAGCGAACGTCGGTCGCTACAGATTTGGCGTCGGGTTCCAGGAGCTTTGTTGAATGCAACCATCCTGGATATGCAAGAACAGATGATCACAGCTCACGGTTACACCAACCGTCCAGTGGAGGAAGGAGCAGTGGCTCCTGTGGCGACACAGTATTTTCGCGCCCATTTACAGCAACAGATGGGTGCGGCATTAGCCCGCGAATCGCTCCACCTCGCTACGATCATAGACCTGAGTCTGAGAGGACGCATAGCGTCCGCTCTGGACGTGGCCGGGCAGCGCCTCAAAGCACTCGAGGCCATGTCGCGGGGGACCGCTTTCGACATTGCCAGGCGGCTAGAGTTGGTTGGAGCGGATCGACCAAGCCTCGTAAGTGTGCCCGAAGCAGGAGCTGCAGGACGGGAGGTACAGACCGAGGACCGCGTCGTGAAGCGCAACACAGGCCGTTGGTTTTGGGAAGACAGGGATTCCTCCAAAGGTGGCAAAGGAAAAGACAAGGGAAAACGAGACAAAGGAAAAGGCGATGGCAAGAACCGAGACAAGGGCTTTCGAAAAGGCGAAGGCAAGAAGAAGGACGACAAGGCAGACAAGGAGTGAACATTGACCTTGGTGTTGAAGGGGCAGCTATGATGGGGGGAGAGGGAAGCGCTAGGTGCGCCCCTCTCCCGGGCTTGGTTTCTGGCAAGAATGGGCAAAAGAAGGAGCTTGTTGGGCAAGAGGAGTTTCACGGAGGGAAAGATTCCTCCTCCGGCCTGGTAGCGTTGGCAGACGTGGAAGGGCCTACGACACTACGAGATCCAGTTGAACCTTTGTTGAATTCATTGTGCAACTCCCGTGCTGAGGGAGTTAAAGGGGATGGCAACTTAGGCATGGGCCAAGCAGCTATTTCCATTGAAGTGCCGGCCCGAGGGGCAGAAGACCACGGCATTGCAAGCGATGAGCTGGATCACTCCCGAGTAGAACAGGGGAGTGGCGAGGAGTTGACGTCGTTTGTACAGAAGTCAGTTTCACCTAGCAGCTTCAGGCAAGTCATGTCCTTGGCCAGGTCTAAACTATGTGAGATTGGAACCGAGCGCATGCAGAACACGGTAGAGGAACCCCCTTCAATGACTGACGACTTCTTTCCGTTGCCTCTACCCCTGCAGCCAGGGACTAACTCAGGACTAGCTTGCGCCGACATGGTATATGGGCTGAACATGCTTGCCTGTGGAAGAGGAGAAGGACCTCCTCCCAAGCGACAACCTTGTGGAGTCGTTGAAAACTTGGGAAGGATTTGTGAGCGGTTCAAGGCTTGGGAGGAAACGTTTGATCCCCTCGACTTTAAGGACTTCTTTGCCAAACGGGGGGTGACGTATGATGGTGAGGAGGTTCGAGTGGCGCAGACCTTGACTTGGGAAGGTGCGCGTAGGTCTTTGCCTGATGAGGTAGGTCGTCTAGAGTTGAGGGACTTCTGCACTCAGGGAACCCTGCATTATTTGGACCACTTCGAGGACCACCTGATTGACACGACCAACCTCCCATGTCCCCGAGCCCCCCGGGTGATGGTAGGGGATGATTGGCCTGCCATCTGTGAGGGCCTGATCAACAAGAACATCTGCGAAGTCATGCCGATCGACCAGCTGTACCACATCGATCAGGTGCCTTTACTGAACGGGATGTTTGGGGTTGGTAAGGGCGAATTTGAGGGCAACATTGAAACCCAAAGGCTAATTATGAATTTGGTGCCATTGAATCGTCTATGTGAGCCGCTGGTGGGAGACGTCGTAACTCTCCCGAACATCAGCAGCTTCGGGTCATTTTTGTTGGATGACGGCGAAGTAGCCCTGATTAGTTCAGAAGATGTGCGTTGTTTCTTTTATTTATTCAGGGTTCCAAGTGCATGGAAACGCTTCCTTGGATTCAATCGCCGCGTACCCCCAACATTAGTGCCGGAAGAGTGGCGTGATCGGCCCTGCGTGCTCACTGCGTGCGTGTTGCCTATGGGATTCATTAACAGTGTGTCAATTGCCCAGCACGTGCACAGGAACATTGTCATTTGGAGTCAACAAGGGAGCAGTAGTTGGGGGGGCTCAAGTGAAATGCGAAAGGATCGGGTCAGCAGTGTGGCCAAGCACCAGTATCGAGTTTACCTTGACAACTTTGATCTGGTGGAGCGCTATGATCCAGCCACGGCGGAGGTGCTTGTAGGAAAGGTGGCTCAGGCGGTTCAGGACCTCCGAGAGCAATATGCCGCCCAAGGCATCCCTCGCCACCCAAAAAAGGCTGTGGTGCGGGCACCAGTTGCAGAGATTCAGGGAGCGATCATTGATGGAGCTGCAGGCTTCGCCCAACCCAAGGCGGGCAAGGTGACATTGTATTGCCGGTTGGCGTTGATGTTGGTCAAACAAGGCAGCTGCACATTGAAGGAACTGCAGGTTGTATGTGGAGGCTTTGTGTACTTCACCATGTTCAGGCGGCCGCTCTTGTGCATCTTGAATGAGGTTTGGAGGTTTATGGAGAAGCTGAAAAGCCTTCCGCCTGTCGTGCGACTCCCGGTACCAGTGGGAGTCCAGCGGGAATTGTTGACATTCATTTTGCTGACCCCCTTGGCCCAGATCGACTTCAGATGTCCCTTCATGGAACACGTCACGAGCAGTGATGCTTCAACATCTGGTGGCGGAATGTGCGTGAGCGAGGGTCTCACGGGCTATGGAGTGGCAGCACTACACACGGAGAGCAGAGGAGATCTCCCGCACGAGGGAGAGACCTTGCAAGTGCTAACGGTAGGGCTTTTTGATGGGCTTGGTGCACTCCGATTAGCCGTGGACAGTCTTGGAGTAGGAGTGGCAGGTCACTTGAGCGTTGAGAAGGAGGAGACGGGCCGTCGAGTTGTTGAGGCCTTCTTTCCGGACACCATCTTCCATGACGATGTCAAGACGGTTGATCATGAATTGGTGCGAGGGCTTGCCATGCGTTTTCCCTCCGTATCGATGGTTCTGCTGGGCGCAGGGCCCCCCTGTCAAGGGGTGAGTGGCCTCAATGCCTCCAAGAAAGGGGCTTTGCGAGACGCCCGGAGTTCGCTCTATCAGGAGGTGCCGCGTATCAAGGAGCTCTTCAAAGTTCATTTTCCATGGGCCCAGGTTAGGCTTTTGATGGAGTCAGTCGCCTCTATGTCCGAGGAGGACCGCGCCATTATGAGCGAGGCCATTGAGGTACAGCCCTATCGCGTGGACGCTGGAGGGATCAGTTTGTGCCATCGACCTCGTCTATATTGGGTGGACTGGGACTTGACGGAGGGGGAGGGAGTCGCTGTCACCCCTCCCGTTGAGGAAGGCCAACCATGGAGTGGCTGTGGAACGGTGGAGTTGAAGGCCAATGTCGAGGAGCAAGCTTTCTTGGAGCAGGGCTGGTTCGTCACATTTACCACCTCACGTCCGAGAGAACAGCCAGGGTTCCGACCAGCCGGTTTAGATCGGTGTGCGCCGCATGAAAAGCTGAGGTGGGAAGCTGACAGTTTCCGGTTCCCACCATACCAGTATCGGGATCACAACCTTCTTTGGACCAGGAAAGGAGCCGCTCGCAGACCCAATGTTCAAGAGAGGGAGGCCATCATGTGCATCCCAGTGGGGTACACTCGGCCGTGTCTCCCGAAGAGTCAACAAAGTGGTTCATCGTGGGAAGATACAAGGCTATCCTTGATTGGTAACTCCTGGCACGTAGGAGTAGTTACCTGGCTGTTGGAGCAATTGCTAGGGCCATTGGGATTTTGCCGGCGACAAGGACTCCAGCAAATTGTGGACTATTTGACGCCTGGCCGAAGCGGAACGTTGCAAGGCATCCTTCTCAGGCCACCGTTGTTGTCGAATAGGACCCTGCTAGAATCGCTGGAGAAACCACTGTTGATGAAGTTGTTGGGGTTGGTGTCCATGAAGGGTGAGGATCTCATGGTGACAGCGGTTAGTGAGCCTCAGGTCAAATTTCATCGCTTGCGCTCCAGCGTACCAGCAAGGTTGTGGAGGTGGCGTGAGGTCACAGGTTGGCGTTGGCGTCACTCTGGTGAACACATCAATGTGTTGGAACTCAGGGCCATTCTGACTACTTTGCGCTGGTTGGTCACTAGGCGAGGGGGATATAGCCGGCGTTTCCTACATCTGACAGACAGCTTGGTGTGCTTGCACAGTTTGTCGCGTGGTCGAAGCTCTTCTCGGAAGTTGAGGCATGTGCTCATGCGGGTCAACTCTTTAATCCTTGCTGCGGACCTCCACCCCATTTGGGGATACGTGCATACAGCTCAAAACTCCGCCGACCGGCCTAGCCGGCGGCCGCTTCAGCGAAAATGGGGAAAGTGAGACAGCACTTGGAGGGACGAAGCAAGGAAGAAAGAGCTAGGAATCGGCAAGCGTTGGGTACGTTGCGTGAACTGACGGTGCAACCTCAGACAAGGAAACGATACAGCCTCGCCAAGCAAAAATTCTACGACTATGCCCGGGCCAACGGTTTGAGCATTCCCACCAAATTCTCTGCCTTCGACGACATGTTGGCTGATTATGTCGAACATCTGTGGAGCGGGGGAGAGGGTCGTGCACTGGCTAGTGATACAGTCGCCGCTTTCCAGGACACAGAGCCGCGACTGAAAGGTCAACTTCAGGTGACATGGCGCCTCCTAAAGACATGGCACGTCAATGAGATACCTAGCCGTGCACCCCCCCCTCCCGGAGGATTGTTTGTTTGCCATGCTCGGATGGTGCTTATTCCATAAGAATTCGCTTTTGGCTTGAGTCTACTGTTGGGCTTTTATGGGTTGCTGCGCACGGGGGAGATTGGTTTGTGCAATCATCACATCCTGATGACGTCTCCCGAAAAACCGGCAGTGATTTCATTAGGTCTCACAAAGTCAGGAAAACGGGCAGGTGCCTCCGAGAGTGTCACCATCTCTGTTACCTGTGCTCTTCAATGGCTCTGGGCCTGGAAGAATGCATCCTCCTCACGCTGCCCCCTGACCCCTGCACCACACCACTGGCGGAAGAAATTCTCTGAGTGCGTCAAGGCGTTGAACTTGGAGGAATTCGAGTTCCGCCCGTACAGTTTGAGACGGGGCGGGGCTACCTGCTGGTTTGGGAAACATGGATCCCTAGACAGGATCATAGTGTTAGGTAGGTGGGCCGCCGCACGCACGGCCCGAATTTACATAAATGACGGGCTGGCAATGGTTGCGTCTCTCAAATTGCCTCGAAAGTCCTTACTTCCTTTCCTTCGAACGTTTCACCAGCAAGACCTTGCACGTTTGCCGAGTGCGCTTGAGCGTGCTAAAGCAGGCTGGGGGGAATTGGAAGGAGTGGTTTGTCAGTGTGGGGAGGAAATTAATTTCGTTGTGTCTAGAGAAAGACTCAT